ATCACTAGAATAAAAATAATAATAAAAGTATTTGAATAAAAAAATAAAAGAGACTGCTAATCAGATAATACAATGCAACTAATGTGTGGGAAGAGAATACTATCTAGAGGAGACTCATGGTATTGGGAATTTAACATCTGTGGTGCTCTCCTTGCCCTCTGCTCTGATTTTTCAAGCCACCTCTCCCAGAAATGTCAATGCATGGAAAGGAAGTATAAAAGTCATGTTTTGCAAAGTAAAGTGTGACATCCTCATGATAGTCAAAGTGTTGAGAAAAGAGGTTGGTTTAACATAGGAGGACTGTTATAAAAAGATCAATCAGATAAATATTAGCCATGTTTCCAAATCATACTCTGAAGCAGTTTTTTACTTTTTTACTTGGAAGGACATGCCAACTTGTGAGATGACACACAGACACAACTTTTAGTAAGTTTGAGCTAACAAGTGCTGGGTTCAGAATTTTTGTCATTAGGATCAGTGAAAATAGAGGTCAGAAGCAGTAGCAGGGAGACTTCATCATATTCAACTAAGAGTATCCATCTCAAAGCAAAGAGTTTTCCTGGCCACCCTGTCAGTCCAGTGTACCCATTTGCGCTATCCAGCTCCCTTGGACTTTGACAAGAACAGCAAAAGGTGCTTGCCTCACTTCTTTCTATGAATCATCATCAATTATTATTACTTTGTTATTAGTTATTATAATGTTTTCTTACTGTATTTATTATTTCCTCAACCTATGTGTCTGATTGCTCAAAAAGTGAAAAAGTAGCAATTCTCATCATGATTGATACAATATACAGCTGGAAGAAAAAAAGGACAAATCTTGTTTTCCAGAATATGCTATAAACAGAAATATAAAGCAAGAATAATTTTTATGAACTTTCTTCCAGTCTTTATTTCAAACTATTTTCTGTTTAATTATTAATTTGGGGTTTTTTTTCTACTCAGTAAATGTCCTTGATGGCATTTCTTTTCCACTGGATTTTCAATGAGGTCAGATTAGTGCCTCTGGAACCACCATCTCTTCAAACGTTAGTTTTATATGGGATCGTACTTAACTCTGGAATCTTTGTTCATAAAATTTACCACATCAATGTATTCATAACAGACCTGGATGAATGTGTAATGGAAACAAGGAGAGCACTAGGATCCTCCTCCTTCCAGAACACAATAGAAGAAGCCAAAAATGAGAAAGAGTCAGTGAGCACAAGCCAGCCCCCATACAAAAACAAGACAGTAAAATACTACTTGCAACAGCAGCAGTCATGCATGACCTACAAAGGCCAGAATTAGGGCTTGGGTTCTTTTGATCTGATGGTACTGTAATAATGCAAAGCAAATCAATAGATTGGTAAAAGAAAATCAGGACACTTCTAGCAATGGACACCACAATGTACTGATGCTTCATGTGGGTACTGGTGCTTAACAAAATATGGCTAATCCTGGTTGTGTCAATGTAATTTAGAACTTAATTCCTTATTCTTAAAAAAAAAGGCATGAAGAAACCCAATGCAGACTTGCTAATGCCCTGGATAAAGAAGATTGCCAGTTTGGTCAACCTGGGTTCTTATCTCTCCTTCTACAGAGCTCAAGTGTTAACATTGCACTGCCAAGAAGCATGAATTAAAGCTTGCCAGTATTTCAGTATTTCAGCAAAACATGTTCCTGTCTTTTCCTGATTAGAAATACTTTGCTGTTAGCTAGCAGTGTTGCTCTAACTCTGATGCCTAAGAATATAAAAATTACATGATTTGTAAAGCAATGTGTCATATGTTATGTTGGGAATAAGACATTTACAAGTTGGATCTGTACAGGGCAACCATCAAGCTAAGTACAGGTCAGAAATGACTGTTCTGGTTATTACATAAATTAATATTCCTTAAACACCTTAAGAGAGGAAGACAGCTAATCAAGTATGGTAACTAGGAGAGATGACATCCTATAGAAGTGAACTTCTGTGGGACAACTATGGGTTAATAGTTGATGAGGCGTATGGAAAACTACAGTGGTCATAAAATTTTTACTGAGCAAATACTGAGTCCATAGTTTTGAACACTGAGTGGGATTGGTACTTCAGGATCTCAGGTTTGCCTTTGTAGGTCTTTCCTGAGGATCAGGTTTCACATGTCAATTAAAAGAATTTTTTCTTCTTCCAGCTGGGTGTTTCTGGTTTTTTACTGATAGTCTTTCTGAGTTAACCCTATGCTGGACCTGTTTGGTTTCACCTGCACCATCTCCACAAAGCCATTTTAATATCTCATGGATAAAATGGACCTGAAATGCTTATGTTTAGGATCCATGGATTTTGACAATTCTGTTGTGAAACTTCAATTGGCAACACTTGTATGAATGCCCTAGCAGTTACATACTTACCTCAACAACATAAGAACAACTTTTATGGGTCAAGGATTGAGGTCAGACTGTATCTTTGAAAGAACTGTCTTCAGGCAGTTCCTGTCAGGGCTCTGAGTGCTCTAGCAAGCCTTAGCTGGTAATAACAAGCCCTGACCAATCTCACCTGTGACCTCCATCCACATATCTCCACTCATTCATCCAGTAGCTCTATTTAAGCTCTTGCCTGAGGCTCTGGTCCCTGTCTGAGCTGCAACATACCTGTGCTTGCCCACAGCCATGTCTCCAGCTGCCCTGATTTAGAGACTGGTTTTGCTGGAGGGACTACAGACTGACAAAGATAGTAGCCTCATATCGTGTACTCTGGGTTGACATTAGACCTAAGACATAGGATTGTTTCTGAGCCATCTCCTGCTGTTCCCTCCCAGCTGGACTCCCTGGATCAGGCTCATCACCTTGACTTGTCCAAGGCTCCTGGTGGACCCTGTCACTATCACTACCTCGTCCTGCTCTGGTCCTGTGGGACTGCACCCTGATTGGTGAGCTCCTGTGGTTAACCTCAGCATCCATTCTTGCTGCTCTCTAACACTGGATATCACACAAAATTAGGGGGAAAAAATGCCACAAAACTCTCACCAGTCATATTTTTATGTGGGAATCTGTATAGGAAATCATTAATTACACCATGTACCAAAAGTGGATGATAACTTCCACTAAATTTTCCCAGAATGTTTCCTTAGCATAGGAACAACTTCCAGACACCTCAACACATTGCCAGAAATTCACCTCTCACACAACAAACACCAGATGAAACAAGACCACACCAAAGCAATGAACACAAGAACTTCCAACGCCTCTGTCTTTACACAGTAATGAGCCTGTCAATTGTTGCAAAACGCCTCGGTGCCTGCTAACTCATCACTTCTATGGGAGTTACTTAGCTATTTCCCACAACCCGATTACTCTTCTTTGTTCCATGTAGCTTAACTACTCTTTCCCTTCAAGTTGAGCAACTTTAATTAGGCTGTTCCAAAATAAATAATTTCCAGTCTGGTTTAAACCTGATGTTCACTGGAGTTGTGCAAGAGCTGAAACACTTAGACATCTTAAAAATATAGGAATATCTTATACAGAGAAATATATCCTCTAAATATATGTTAGTTTAGTAAAATATGTTTATTTTTTTCTTACTATAAGCTTTACTTCTGTAACCAAACAGAGGCCCTTATACTTAGTAGCATATGGATTACTAGTTTTTGTAAGCTTTAATGGAATTAGGCGACCTGAAAATAGTATTCCTACAACAATCATTATTTCAAAAGAAAAGATTTGGAAGATCATCTCAGAAAATTCACAGTAAAAAGATGCGTGTTTGTCCTCAGGTACCTTAGTCATGAGAACTGCAGAGGAAGCTATGAGGAACAAAGGCATAAGAAAATGCTGGAAGTATAACACATGCACCTGTTTTCACTGAATGCAAAACTGTGGGGCCTGATTAGGCTAGAATTGAAAGAAAAATATTTTTTCAGCATTTTAGTTCACCATTCCCTGAAACTTACAGAGTAAATGCATGTCTGTCAGTTGGGAAGGGAGCTAGGTCTCACACAGTTCCTCAGTATAGTTTCACCACCTGCCTGTGTGCTCTCAGGCCAGTCACTTTCCCTCTCTGGCTCAAATGCGTCACTTTGCATGGGAACATTATTGTGCTGCAGCAAACATAAATGTAGTAACACGTGTGAAATATTCCACTGCAACTTTCCTGCTGATTCTTAATTACCCACATTAAAAATAGGTTTCTCTAACTTACTAGAAACGAATTCATATCAGTGTGTAGTTTTCTTTCCTTTGATAAATATTTTTCAAGTTGTTTTCACTCTTAAGAGTATATTAACAAATTCCCCTTGGAAAATAAATTCCCAGCATCAACTCTATGTTAGAAGTAATCGTGGAAGTTTTGAAAGAACTGAGCATGGCTGTTCCCTTTCACTTTCCCTGTCACCTTTGTAGTCGGTTTCACAGTTTTCTATGTACATGGGGAAATTCCAGGATGGCTCTACGGCACTGGCTCTGGTGACTTAAGAGCCTAAAACAACCAGAGGATGTGTGACAGGCAGCACGACGCACACGGGCTGTGAGCAGTGATACCTTGAGAAGGTGTGCGCAGTGAGCTGCGAACAGAGAGTATTGACACCCTGTCGTCGGTCAGGTGGATGTTATTAAAAAGGAGGATAAATCCACGCTGTTGGGGCTCCGATGGGAGATGCTGAATGGCATTTGGAAAGCGGACCGCCTTCCATCAACAGCCGTGAGCGCTGTTGGCAGGCAGCGCTCCTGGAGCTTGACCCCATTTCCAGGGGTTCTCGCAGACCCACAGAGCGCCACTCACCTCCCTGGGCACCCCGTGAAGTGCGGACATGTCGCCGCTTACTAGGTTATTGTTACGGGTACACGACGCTTTGCCGCCCAGACTGCAGGAAAATGGGGAGAGAGGGGAAGGGAGAGAGGGATCCCGGGGTGCGGGAAAGATGCAACTCCGCGGAAGCGCGGGCTGCGCCCCCCTCGCTGATCCTCTCCCCGTCCCGCTCGGGGGCGGGGGGTCGCGGCCCGGCCCCCTCCCCGTGTCAGCCCCGCCCCTGCCCGGCCCGTCGCGCCGCCGTGGGCAGACGCGTCCGGCGAGCTCCGGCGGCCCCTCCGCGGCCATGCGGCTCCTCGGCGGCGCGTCCTGCGCGCTGCTGCTACTCCTGCTCGCCCCCGGCTCCCGTGAGTAGCGGCCGCGGGGGGACGGGCCGGGCACGGCGGGCTCCCCTCGCAGCCGCCCTGGCCGGGGGCTGCCGCGGCACCTCGGCCGGGCCGGGCCTGGTGCCGTCGCTGGCGGCCGGGAGCGGGGCGGGGGCTGCCCGCCGAGAGCCCG